GGGTGCGCATTTGTTCTTATGTCTCGTACTAATAAATGTTGTCGGCGATCACAATATATGTTATTAATAACCGTACCCTGAAATGTACGGATCAGCTGTGCATTTCCTTGACCGCACGTCACATTAGTACAGTATATACTATATAATTATTACCAATCATTAAGAGGCAAGCATCGAGTCTTTGACTCACCTATAAAAAAAATAAACACATTAGACTGTGGTACCACAGAAGTATTATTGTGGCAGATCAAAACGACATCGGATTGAAACGACTCGGGGAATGTGTGATCTATGATCACGTTATTGACAGGGGTTTACTAATAGATAGCCGTAAACGGTGAACCAAAAGTTATGGGATGTAACACACATCGGATGCAAATCTAATTTTGTGGCACAGTGTATATCGATATGATTAGCGATCATACAAATCAATGATCGGTACCGCACCAGAATTGGAATGGCGTTGCCTTATCTGGAGGTACACCTCTGGGCCGATAATTTACCACAACATAGTTCTGCGTCGGAGATGTGTTATTATCTGGGCTGTGTCTTAATGCTTCTTGGGCAATTGTCATGGCGTGGGCTAGGTTTTTCGCTCCATGTGCTACTATAGCGTACACTGCACCCATTTTGCGCAAATAACGCGGAATAAGCCCATACGATTTTAAATATTTATTTAACCGTTTAGCTCCGGGTTTACCTGGATTCTCGAGTTTCCCAGATAATATAGCGTTCTGTATCCAGGTTAGTAACTCTTTAGCACGTTTTTGATTTTTTTCTAGAGATCTAAATACTCGTAAAACGTCTGGCTGACCTCGATTTTTTGCGTATCCTGCTACACCAGCATTTGTAATGCGTAAAGTTGTAACTTCAGCTGGACGCATACAAAGCATTATCATAACATCAGCAAGGGCTTGCAAATCAGGGAACGTCTTAATATCGTATCTATCCAACCTTTCCTTAACCGATTCTAATGTAAAATGATCTGGGTAATTGATTTTTTCAAAATCCTCGGCAAATTTTCGGTGATTTTTTTGAATTTCGTTAGCTTTCTCGGTAATCTCAGAAAATTTTGTCACTTCAACTATATAATAGGGAGCATTAAAATTTCGTAATTCTCATTGAAGCCGAGAGAGCCTAGAAGACCCAGCATTTTCATTCAATGCCGATGTGGCTAACTTCTGTGCTTCGGCATTCACATCCTTTTCACTGAGTTTGTCTCGTAAAATTCGTTGTGCTAACTCCTTGATAGTTTCTGGCACGTAAGTGCCCTCACTCTGCGGGGTTACCATTGAGTCCGACTTTATCGGGGCCTTGTCCAGAGTTACAAGATTTACGACTTTTCGCCGGCCACTTTTTTGAATAGGAATTAATACGCTTACCTGTGCATCGCTGAATTTGAAACCATCTCGAAGGCGTCTTCGTGCTTGATTTCGCTTTTTATCATCTGTAAGGCCTTTGAGTATTTCAGAAGTATATTTACTAAGATCAGATGCACTCATCTCTGGTTTAAGATTGTATTTTTCAACGATTCTTGTTGCAATAGCTGACATTTCGGCTTTATTAGGTTATGTCCACTTTGCTAGGTTATATACTATGCAAAATATCTTTTCAATTCGAAAACAATTATTCATTGGTCGTATTATTATTTTTTATTCGATTTTTTATGGGTGACTAGTATAAAGGACAAAAAAATTCCCTCCCGTGCAATATAGTACAGTCAGACCTCTCTAAATGCAACCTCTCTTAATGCAACTTTTCTCTAAATGCACAGCAATTGCTCAGTCCCATG